GCAAGGATACAGAGATGCAGGAGGCTGCTGGAGCACGGTAATTGATTTGGGATTAATGGAGTCTGCCATGATCAGCCCATGAAAATGGGAGTCAGCCCAGTGATCTTCCTGCAAAATCGGCTGGCTGCCTCCTTGAGTTGGGTAGACCCCTAGTTAATGAGACAGGTAGTGAAAGCTGTCATCCTGGACTGACTGCAGATCTCAGAGGGAGGGAGCCACGCTGATTTCAGAGTAACATCTTTCCTAGGGATACAGCCACCCTTCTTTCTCTGGATATTAGGCCTGTGTGAGTCAGCAGCGATCCGATCCGGCTTCGGATCTGGCTGCTTCGGATGGCAGCGATCCGATCCGGAGCTCCGGACCGGGTTTCCACCTCAATCCGGCCGAAACTTCAGACTCTGAAGCTTCAGAGCCACCTCGGAGATCCAGCCATAGGGTATAACGGGGAATCAATGAAATATCTATAAACTTTGTTGTTTTTTGTCTGATTTAGATGAAACTTGCAGAGATGGTAGCCTCTGCTGAGAGCATGAAGCCTGCCAAGTTTCAAGACAATTGGTGCAGAGGTTTGGGGGGGAACTATACCCCAAATTCTTGAAAGCAAAACTCATGTCACGTGTATGTGTTACACAACGGGGGGTGAAATCTGCAGGGATGGTAGCCCCTGGTGAGGCCACAAAGCCTGACAAGTCGCAAGAAGATCGGTACAGGGGTTCTGGGGGAACTGCACCTCAAGCTGTGGACAAGCAAAACTTGTGAGATGGGCGACACCGTGTGTGTTAAGGCGTAGCGGGGTGAAAGCTGCAGGGATGGTGGCCCCTGCTGCGGCCATGAAGCCTGACAGCTGTCGAGGAGATCGGTGCAGTCAGTTGCACAAGCACCCATGTCACGAGTTTTGCCTGTCAGCAGCTAGGGGTGCAGGGCCCCAGAACCCAGAAGCCCTGCACTGATCTCCTCAACAGCTGGCAGGAGTCATGGCTGCAGCATGGGCCACCACCCCTGCAGTTTTCAGCCTGCTGTGCCTTAACACACACACAGTGTCACCCATGTCACGAGTTTTGCTTGTCTGCAGCTTGAGGTGCAGTTCCCCCCAAACTCCTGCACCGATCTTCTTGAAACTTGGCAGGCTTTGCGGCCTCACCAGGGGCTACCATCCCTGCAGTTTTGACTCCCCTGTGGTGTAACACGTACACGAGACATGAGTTTTACTTTCAAGAATTTGGGGTGCAGTTCCCCCCAAACCCCTTCACTGATCTTCTTGAAGCTTGGCAAGCCTCATACTCTTTGCAGAGTCTACCACTCCTGGAAATTTCATCCAAATCGGATGAAAAACAACAAAGTTATAGATATTTTATTGTTTCCCCATTATACGCTATGGCCTGATCTCCAAGGTGGCTCCGAACTGCTTTGGAAAGCCTAACGAAGCCAGCGCTTCAATCCGGACATGCTGCTTCGGATGCTGAAGCATTTGAAGCTTCTTCAGATCTGAAGCAGGGTCTGAAGCCTCACACAGCCCTACTGGATATGGACCAACTGAAGTGACTTTTTGGTTTACATTTGATTCGTGGGTTATATAAGAACTGGTGAACCCAGTTCATCCCTATCTCTGTTCATCAATGCCTACCAGGCCTTACAAATCTTTTAATTCTCTGATTTTCCAAGTTTCTTTTAAGTGGTTAGTGTGATTTGCCCATCTACCCCTTTATTTTCCTCCTTCATACCTGTCTCTCTCAAACACACACTCCCAAATTACTATGCACTCCCAAACCACTTTCTACTTTTACTGTGAAGTAGAATTACATTCATTTTGCAGACTGGGAAAATGAGACACAGAGAAATAACATGACTCGCCCAAGGTTAGGCATAGTCATTGTCAGAAATGGAAACAGAATACAGATCTTCCTTTTTACTAAAAAAAACAAAAAACAAAAACCCCAAAAAATTCTTTAGTTTTTTTTTTATTATTACTGGTACATCTTTTTCAGTTATCTCATAGGTTCTAATTTCACTAGAAAAATAGATGAAGGCAAGCATTGTTATAAGATTAATACTTAACTATGAAGCAGAGATTAAATTAATTTTTTCTATAGAATCAAAGCATGCAGGAAATTTCAAAAACTGACACACACACGACTGAAAATTTCCCCTATAACACAATACTAAAGTACTGAGGAATATTGTTTCTCCGAGGCCAGAAAATATTTCACAGTGCATTTGCTGACTCCATCAGCTCATCTCCTCCATACACTTAGCAATTTTACATTCATGTGCAGACTTAGTGACACTCAGCCCATCTTTGTGAGACACACACCACTATTGTTACTATGATGAAGATTGATTAGCAGTCACTTAGCAAGTAAAATATTTTGGGAGGAATATGAAAACTTAGGAACTTTTCCCGTAATGTGCAGTGACAACATTTTATTTAGTATTTGTCCTTATTTAGCTGTAGCATCATCTATATACTTTGCCGTCAAAACAGTCTCTCTTTTCATAGGCATTAGAAAATAAGATGTGTAACTATATCTTACTCGAGATATTTTTTACAGCTTACATCAGTGGTTCTCAACCTTTGGTATCCTACATACCTCCTGCCGATCGATGCAGCAAAAGCGAAACCCAAAGTACCACCTTGGCACTTCTGGTTTCACCGCCGTGAGCCAAGTCCCACTTTTTCCACGGCGGGCCCGTGGAAAAGCAGTTTGTGTGGGGCTTCCCTCCCACGTATACCATGGGTTGAGAAACACTGGTTTACATGAAAGGGATTTCTTTCTTTAAAAGCAGTTTAGTTGGAGTGAAAATGCAAAGGGCACCATCAAGTGTCTAAGCAGGGTAAATGCAGAATGTATCAAAGAAACATGATTTATTGCTAATTAGTGTGTCTACAGAGGGATTCCTGAGCATTTTGCAGCCCAGTTACATCAGAGAGCCAATAAAAATGAAAATAAGATATGTAAGCTACAGCATATATATCAGAGGTAAATTCTGTAGATGAGACAAGGTGGGTACTAAGTAGCACGGTGACTATATTCCAGCAACAATGACTGAACTTCACACAAACCAGAGGCCCAGGGAGCTAGTTTATTTAAATTAGAAGTAGTGGTAAGATAGTGTTAGAATGATGTTGTGGCCATGATAGCCCAGATATTATGTGAAAGGCAAGGAATGTTTTATGGTGATATATTTTATTAAGCCAACTTCATGGTTGGAATAAAGTTAGATAAGCTTTCAAATGTAACACATTTTTTATCAGTAGTGGTAGGAATCATGTAGCCCTGCCAGAAAAGAGCTGAGTCCTGAGATAAAATTTGCAAAGGATCAGGGAGCTAACAGGGTATAAATATGTAGGGAAATTGTTCCAACTGGAAGTAGCAGTATAGAAGAAAGCTGTTACTCTCACAGTTGAACAAAAAGGAGGGATCAGGGTTGGCAGAAAAGTCTGGTGTTAAAGTGTATGGAGAAATCTAACCACTGCTAAGAGAAAAGGCTGTAAAGACAGGGGGTCAGATCCTTAGCCTTTGCTTCATCCCATTCACATAGTGGAAGCAGCACAAAGAAACTGAAGGGCTGTCTGAAACGAACATCTAAGAAAATGAGGGGGGGGGGAAATACAGAAGATGCTTTAAGCTGTCTTTGCTCACCTCATATGGCTCTGCACCAAGCACTGCTTGGCTGGACCTAAGTGCATGGCCCAAGTTTCAAAAAGGTGAAAAACTACAAAAAATATTTTTAACAGGATTGTGTAATAGACCATGGACAGATACATGTTTATGCTAGAGGGGGTAGGAGGAAATAATGGAAGAATTAGGAGACCATCTGGCTGAAATAGCAGCAAAAATCTGAGTAAAAGACCAAAAAAAAAATTTAAAAAAATCATGAAGTAGATCTGGATTTCATCTGCAGAGAAGTGATACCCACAGAGGGTATAGTGTAGTAGGCCAATGGACGTGCAAAGCCAATGGTAAACACTAGCCAAAAGAAACCAAGAATGCTTGGTTCATAACAAACAGGGGTTTTATTAATCAAAGATGCACAGGCTGTTCCATTTCAGCACAGTGTTTGAACCTAAATACCATTAATGTATTCCCCCTAGAACCAGATATACCATGGGCTGGCATAAATTATAAATGCTATAATCCAAGACAGCTCTCCTAATGTGTTTATTATGCCTAAGAATGGTTTGTGTGTGTTCAGTCTTATTCTCTTTATAATAGACTTGCAATGCAGAACTCACTTTTTTGATTAATACTAAATAGTACTTTGTTTTGCCCTATGGTTGCAGTATCTAGATGTAGTGGTCAGAGTACTGAAAATATAAGAAGTAATTAATCTCCAGTGGAACTTGGTTAAAGTTGTTTGAACACAACTTATGGTCTCACATCTTCAGATCAATCATTTATTAGAAATATATGGGCTAGATCCAGGTTTGTGCCTTATTCTCCTCTCCTGTCTTTTTATTCCTGGAGATAGTCTGGGCCCTGGTGTAATTTAGAGGAGCTTCAATACAGCTCTTAATTATGTCTAGTGGTAAGTACTTTCAAAGAAAACAGAGGCACTAAAATTATACTCAGTGAGCACATCTACATGAGCATATTAATGAGCAGCAATAAACTCTGGTGCATGCCATGACTGAGTTTATTGCTCCTGGGCATATGTATAAACATGCTGTGGTCCTGGTCACACATGTTGAGCCAGGTTGGAGCAGTCTTGGCTGACAGAGGGCCCAGGGAATCAGCCTGCCGGCTCAGGGCTGCTCCTACCCAGCTCAACTTGCTGCGGGGGGCTGGCTGGTATACAAGGGTGCTTCAGTGAAGGGCTAACAGGCAGGCGGCTCCTGCACTGAAGCATCCTCATGCCCCAGCCACCCAGATCAGCAACACCTGCCCAGGTATTGCTGCACATGAAAGAACTCCTCAGCAGGACACTACTTGTATTGACAGGTACTAACCTGCTGTAGAGTTTATTAGTTTCCTGTGGCCTATTAGGGCCACATGTATAGATACCCAGAGATTTACTGCAGAGCTAATTAGGCAACTCCACAGTAAATGCTGCACACCCAGTTTCCTCCAGCCACACCCCAACATAACCCCTAGGTCAGCGACAGGGAAAGTAATAGTGACATAACTGATAGCACCAACACATTTACAACTGTGGGGTGCTTAAGAGGCTTAATTGACATGGCTTGATTTCTAGATTCAAGGTATGATCTATAGCAGGAGAGACAGGGAAGAGACTGGGGATGGAAATCCTCCACATTTCCCCCCCGGCCCCCATCTTCAAAAGCCTGGGCACACAGCTTCAGAAAGCTTTGAGCCCGAGAGTGCTTTGTCTGGAAGGGCCCTCTTCCATATCTAGAGAAAAATCACACAACACATAATACTGGCTATAACAAAAATACACATAGAACATCAAGGCACATTGGGCAGCTGAAATAAAGAGATTGGATATTAGCTGTGAGCAAGATTGCCCATATAGTATGCCCATAGTAAAGAATTAATTGTATCTGCTGTCAAGGGCAATGGGCTGAATCAGCTCTGCCATGAACTGATCCTCAGTAGGAATTCCAAGGATTCTAGGCATTTCAATCCTTATCACAAAGCACTAAGCCAATCCTCTCCAGAATAGGAATGTGAATTAGTAGCAAGGGAAACTGATGTTTTATTATTCATATAAAATTATAGACTATTTAATAAATGCTTTTTTAAGAAACTCATTCTATGCTGGGGAGGCCACATTTACCAGGTATGCACATGGCTGGTAGAATATGTACAAACTGGGTAGCAATACATTGCACAGGAAGAGTAAAAATCACTTTGGCATCGAAGGCACCGGACTGGAACGCAGGCTTGGGGCTTCCCTCAAGGGCTCATCAGCTGTCCTCAGGGTGGCAGAAGGAAATATCCACAAAGAGGTGCATCCAAAGACTCATAGAAGAGATGAGTCTTTGGATGGTAGAGATGGTAGATGGGAGACTTGAATCCTAAAAGTCAGGAAGTGGTTCCTGGAGATGTTGTGTCCAGAAGGTACAATATCAGAAAGATAGCTAAGGAGGAGGAAGCTCTTGTAGTTAAGGCATTATCTGGGGAACTGGAACGTTGGATCAATTTGTTCAGGTTTTCCACCGACTTCCTGTGTGACCTCGGGCATGGCACTTAGTTTTTCTATTCCTTGATTTAGCCAGGGTAAATTCCATCTGCCTAATTCCCAGTGGTGTTTTTAGGTGCTGAAATACAATGATGATGACTGCTGTGAAAAAGCTTATAAATACATTAACCGGCTGCGATTCCCCCTCCCCCCCGCCCCCCCCCCAAAAAAAGAAGAAAAAGAAGAATGCAAAGAACATTTTAAAAAGAAACACATGTTTTTAATATGAACTCTGAAGATTTCAGTATATACTTTGGGACATAGCAATGTGCTGCAGAAGAAATGTATGAGGGCATATCCAGAAGGGAGGTCACTTGACTTTAGTGAGTCAAATAATGAGTCAACATTTCCAGCAACCACTTTCTGACTTTAGAATATTATTCTCACTGAATTAACAGCAAGAGACATTTTTTTTTCTTTTGAATAAGCTCATGGAAGGATACAGTGTTGCTCAATTCTACTTCTGGGGCATTTTCCTGTCTCTTTCCTATTCTCTCTCAGGACACAGATTTTTACAGCGATGGCTTAATGACAAAATGAGATCTTTTCACCCTTGGTATCTATTCCCTTTATTTCAACCATCTAAAGTATAAGCTTCCCATCACTGGGATCAATAGCACTGCAAATCCACCGCTCCAAAATTCTATTTGGATGTGGATGAATGCAATACTATTGTTGGACTGCATCAGAACCAGAACTTCTAGCCTTGCTTTATGTGAAGCAATTCGTTTTATACAATTGAACTGTAAAAAGTGGCAGTAGGATTGCTTCCCAAGTAGGACTGATCTCCAGTGATAGGTGTAAACACTAGTAAGAAAGTGTCTACAAGTCCCACACCTTTTCAAATCATGAGCCAGAGCTCGCTTCAGTGGGGAAGGAGGACATGTATGCTTCATTTTACTAAAACAGCACTCCTTTTAACTTTAGGAAGTTTCAGCCTTATCCTAAGACATACTAAACACAACTATTCCTACTACAATCAGTGGGATTTATAGGGTGTTTATCTGTGTTCATGGCCAAGTCTTTAGCTGGTATAAATTGATGCAGATCCATTGACTTCACTTTACCTCAGAACAGGATCTGGCTCTTGAGGTCTCCTGGAGCTGTGACTTGGTAAATGGGACTTAAAATAGTTTAAAATTCTTCTTATACTAGTACTGGCATAAGAAATTAATAGTAATAATAAATATAGATATAGATACTAGGGATGTGCGAAGCTTCGGTCCCTGATTTGATTCGGTGGAGATCCAGCCTGATTCGGTGGCCGAATCTCCAAATCTGAATCAAATCAGAGGACACTTTAAACTCTCCGAGTTGATTCGGAAAGATTTGGACAGATTCGGCAATTCGGATGTAGATACAACTTTAAACGTTTTTTTCTACATACCTCTAGGTAGCAGGGGCTTTGAACTCTATGGTGCTGGGGCAGCTGCAGCGTCCCACAGAAGTGTGGGGGGCTCCCCAGTGCACTCGGCAGCAGACCCAGAAGTGGGCCAGAAGCACTTCTGGTCCACTTCCTAGTCCACCGAGGAGCATACTGGGGGGCCCCCCCACGCCCGCCCGGCGATTGGTCTGGGGGGAAGCTGGGGTCCCTCCGTGGCCGATCACCGAGCCAGGGAAGGTATGGGGGGCCCCACAGCATGCTTCCTGGCAGACTCAGAAGTGGACTGGAAGTACTTCTGGTCTACTTCTGGGTTCGCTGCTGAGTATGCTGCAGAGTGCCCCCATGCTCCTGTGGGACACCCCATCTGCCCCAGCACTGCTACACTCTACCTCAAGGTATGTAGAAAAAAAAACTTTTAAAGCTGTGTCTATGTCTGAATCGCTGATTTGCTGAATCAGCATCGAATCTTCAGATTCAGACTCGGCTGAATCGAATCAGGGACAGTGATCTGAATCAACAGATCGAATCACTGTCCCTGATTTGGGCCGATTCCGAATCGAATAGGGCCCGTTTCGCACAGCCCTAATAGATATTCACTTAAAATATCTTGCTGGATTAAAAGCTTGGGAGCCTAAGCTGCTTCTCATTTACACCAGTTTTACATTGATAATTTCCATTGACTTAAGTGGAGTTATTCTTGATTTCTACCAATGTAAGGGCCAAGAGAATTGAACGTGTGAGGATGTCTATATTTTCTCCTAGTGCAAAGCTATATTCTACTGACATTGGTTTATCACAGAATCATAGAAAATCAGGGCTGGAAGGGACCTCAGGAAGTCATCTAGTCCAAACCCCTGCTCAAAGCAGGACCATGCACAACTAGATCAACCCAGCCAAAGTTCTGTCTAACTGGGTCTTGAAAACCTCCAAGGATGGAGAGTCCACAACCTCTCTGGATAACCTATTCCAGTGGTTTACTACACTCCTAATGAGAAAATTCTTCCAAATAGCTTCCCTTGTTGCAACTTGAGATTGTTGCTACTTGTTCTGTCATCTGCCACCACTGAGAACAGTCCAGCTCCATCCTCTCTGCAACCCACTTCAGGTAGTTGAAGGTGCTATTAAATCTTCTCTAAGTCTTCTCTTCTCCAAACTAAACAAACCCAGTTCCCTCAGCCTCTCCTCAGAAGTCATGTCCCCCAGCTCCCAAACAATTTTTGTTGCCCTCTGCTAGACTCTCCAATATGTCCACATCCTTTCTGTAGTGGGGGGCCCAAAACTGAACACAGTACTCCAGATGTGGCCTCACCAATGCTGAATATAAAATTATCACTTCCCTTGACCTGCTGGCAACACTTCTACCAATGCATCCCAGTATGCTGTTAGCCTTTTTTGCAACAAGGGCACTGTTGGCTCGTATTCAGCTTACTGTCCCCTGCAACCTCCAGGCCCTTTTCTGCAGAGCTGCCCGGTCAGTCAGCCCCCATTTTGTACTGATGCATGGGATTGCTCCATCCTAAATGCAGGACTTTGCACTTGTCTTTATTGTCATTCTGAATCCTAGCCCTACCCTACAGCATATCTACTACTCCCCCCAGCTTGGTGTCATTTGCAAACTTGCTGAGGGTCCACTCTATGCCACCTTCCAGATCACTGATGAAGACATTGAACAAAACTGGCTCCAGGACCAACCCCTGGGGCACTCTAGTTGGCAGCTGCTATCACGTGGACAACAAGCCATTGATTACTACCCCCTGAGCCTGAAGCTCCAGCCAGTTTTCTATGCACCTTACAGTCATAGAAGGCAATCAAGTTGGTCAGGGTATGACTTGCCCTTAGTGAATTCATGCTGACTGTTCCTAACTACTTTCTTCTCCTCCAAGCAATGCTCTTACATTCCTCCCTATTTATTTGTCCAAGTTTCCACTTCTTATAAGTTTCCTTTTTGTGATTTAGTTTACTGAAAAGTTCCCTGCTAAATCAAGCTGGTCTGCCTTACTTGCTAATCTTCCTGCAGGATGGTTTGTTCCTGTACTCTCAGCAAGGCTTCTTTAAAGTACAGCCAGCTCCCCTGGACTCCTGTCCCCCTCTATCTGGCTTCCCAAGGGATCCTGCCCACGAGTTCCCCGAGTAAGTCAAAGTCTACTTTTCTGAAGTCCAGGGTCCTTACTCTGCTGCTCTCTGTCCTTCCTTTCCTCAGGGTCCTGAACTCAATCATCTTGTGGTCACTGCTGCCCAAGTTGCCATCCATTATACTACATTCCCCACCAATTCTTCCCTGTTTGTGAGCAGCAGATAAAGAAGAGCATGGCCCTTTGTTGCTTAGTTCAGCACTTGCACCAGGAAATTGTCCCCAACACTCTCCAAAAACTTCCTGGATTGCCTGTGCACTGCTGTATTGCCCTCCCAGCAGATGTCAGGGTGATTGAAGTCCCCCATGAGAACCAGGGCTTGTGATTGGGAAACTTCTACTAGCTGTTTGAAGAAAGCCTCATCCACCACTTCCTCCTGCTCTGGTGGTCCAAAGCAAACACCCACCACATCAGCTTTGTTGGTCTCTCCTTCAACCCTAACCCAGAAACTCTCAACAGACCTATCTCCAGTTTCATACTGGAGTTCTGGGCAATCTTATGGCTTTTACATAAAGTGCAGCTTCTCCTCCTTTTCTCTCCTGCCTATCCTTCCTGAGCAGTTTGTACTAGAGGTGCACCGATACATCGGTCTGATATTGGATCAGTACCAATATAAAGAAAATTGTCTATATCGGATTTTAGCCTGATGGGGCTGATAAATGCCTGTGTTGCACGCCACTGCAGCTCAGCATAGAGCAGAGCCAGCAGCATGGAGAGCTGCCTCCAGCTGGTAAATCAGAAGGGGAAGGGAAGGGGAGGGAAGGGGTGTGGGGGGCAGATCAATGCCCCCCCAAGGTGAGGGAGGGGGCAAGGGCAGGCACTGCCCCGCCAGGGTGGGGATGGGGTGTGGAATGGAGGCACGGCTCGTGGGGTGGGGGCACTGCTTGCACCCTGGGAGGGTGGGGGTGGGGGGGGCATGTGCCCCCAGATCTGTAGGGTGTGGAGTGGGCGGTAGCTGTGGGTTGGAGCCAGAGCTAGCGCTGCACAGGGCTGGGCTCGAAGCGGGCTTCAGTGTCACTGGGAGGAGGCTGCAAACACCCCAAATTTCACCGCAGCTCCGCTCCCAACCCCGCACTGCTGCTCACTGCCTGATGTAGCCCGGCTTTTCCAGCACTTGGGTGGAGGCGAGGCGTTCAACCTCACCACCACTTCTTGTAGCTCTCTTGCCTGTTCTCTGAAAGACACCACCAGGAGGCACCACTCATACCAGAGGCACCCCCCAACCTGGCGGTCACTGGAAAGTGCCTGCAAGCCACAGTCCCCAGAGTGGCAAACCCAGACCTGGGTGGGAGCCTCGATGGTGAGCGGCCCTGCCTGGACAGAAACCTCACAAGTGCAAGCAGAGGCAGTGGCAGTGCCTCTGGCATTGTGATATCCCAGAGCCATTTACCTTGGTGTCTTAGTCTGCCTTCTTTTACTGCCCTTTTTCCAAGCACACCTTCCCTAGCAAACTCGCCTGGAAGCTGGCCTGTTTACTGCTCCTTGGCCCCAGAAGTTTCCTTCTTCCCTGCTTCCTCACACCAACCTGAAAGGCTCTCCACTCAGAAAGGGGAAGCGGGGGGA